TAGTTAGTTAAGAAACTTTGAAGCTGTATATACTGTGTTCAGGTTGATTTACGTGTTGATATTGCAGAATGTTTTAACTTAAATTTATGTTTAATGATTTTGCAGAATGCCACTTGGCTATCAAATAAATCCTGTCTGTTTGGAATGGGGCAGGTGGTATGAATATCTGTGAAAATGGACCCTTATGGAGTACAAACTATAACTCAACTAAGAGCAAAAACAGGAGCAAAAACATTGGTGGAATTTTATATTTCTGCTGTAAAAATAGTTATAGGTATGCCTGAGATAGAACAGATACATTAAAGATTTGATTGCCCACTTTGATGTAGTAGAAATAATGTAATTTTATATTTCTCTCCCCCCCCAGCTGAACTTTGTCCATTTAGTAAAAATATTTTTTTTCCTCACCTTGAATTGCTGTTTTTAATATGAAAAAAAAAATACCCTATAGCAAACCTGACAGCATTAAATGCTATTTATAAGATACAGAAAATTAAACTAAAGTTTTTTGCTAATGGTGTATGATCATTTCTTTTGCCCAATACTATGTTCCATCTGAACTCATACAGATATAAAATCCAGAGGAAACAAGCACAGATAGTGCTGAAGGAAATTAGGTCTTTCTAAGACTTTAAACCTCCAGAGCCCACTGAAAATCTGTGCTCAACAATCATTGCTTTTACAGCCAGAATGATACCTTACCTATCAAGAGATTGCCTTAGTGGGATATTCCCTAGAAAGTCCGCTGTAGCCTAGCCTACATTTCATATTCTTTTTCTAACCTAAATCCTGAGGATTTCAAATAGTTTCATAAAATGTATGCACTGAATTTGATGAAAACGTGGCTACATAAAAAAAAAAAATAGAACTACTTTAAGAGAGACTTTCAATGCTGACAATAGAGGAACTTTCCACTGTCTTATGGAAAACTGCTGGGCTGAAACTGACTACAGAGAGAGAAAAGGTGACTTGGCTCTTGGTCAGAGGAGCGTTCTCTCGGGAGGTGAAGGTATCTGCGGTGTGAAATGATAGAACCAGCTCTTACTATGGCAGTGTCTGGGTGGCAAAAGGGAAGCCCCACTTTTTAATGACACTGATTTCTGGATGCTTTATGCACGTTACATGTGCTGCGTACAGATGAATTGGTATTTCTTTTGATGGCACCCATTAGGACAGAGATTTTGAGGCCCATTTTGTCTCTTTCTCAGGGAACGTGCAAGATGTGGTGATGGATGTGTGATCGTGATAGTTCTGGAATGATGAAGGAGAAGAGAAAGTGGCTGTGGGCAGGAAACAGAGCTACTTCAGCGTTTCTTTACCCTCCTGCCTTTTTTTTCTGAGCTAACAGCCCATTCAGTCTGAATACAATCTATTCTTAATGTGTTGAAGTGCATTATTTAGCCCACTAGCGCAAGCCAACTTGTTAACCCCGGAGATAAAATTGCAAGCTTGATTTAATAGAGCTTTGTTAATCTAGAATTTCATTTATATCTTCTCTTAGATCTGTCCACTGTCGGGCTCTTTGTATTTAATAAGTGTGATTTTGACAAAGAGGACACAAATATACAGTAATAGCAGTTATTTAGTGGCTCCTCAAATGTCTGGGAGAAAGCTGTCGAGGAGACTCTTGTCTTGTAGGAAGCGGTTGGAACTTGCCATTAAGCCCTGTAGTGCCTGTGTTCGCACCACATCGATCCTTTAGGAGTGAGAGACTGAAGAAGCAGATCTCTATTATGTTCCTTGGCTGTGAGTAATTACTGAGAAATACAGAAAAAGAATACTGGAGTGTTTTATTCATAATCCACTTAGTGGCTGCATTCCTTACCTTCTGCATGTGGTGAATACCATTTGCTGGAAGGCCCAGTTGAATACACAACCGACCCGCTGGCTGAAAAGATGTGCAGGGGTTAAAAATACTGAGAGGTATGTATATCAAGATCTAAATAGTCCCCTGGAAGATTATGGATAAGGATTATGTAGAAGAGAGAATTTTGCAGGTCTGGAATGTGTTTTTCCTGCAGTATCTATTTCCATTTTCTGTGAAATGACTTTCAATTTTTAGGTTATTTCACATTTTGTTATAATCTCTCGGATGGAAAGCAGATTTGAGACTTACAGTCCGAAGACAGGTTGCAAAGGTTCTCGATGATGTCTGGAATATTTGCAAAGTTTTAGCAGCTGATATGATGCAGAAGAGTGTATAAAACAAATAACAGCGTTTATTGTCTATATTGCCATCCCATTCCCCAAACTGTAAAGATGGATTTGGGGCCCTCCTTCCCTTCAGTTTCCTATAGTGGTGCCAGGCACTGCATAAAACAGGGGGGAAAAAAAACCCAAATCTGTCTCTGAAAAATGCTCAGTAGTAGGGATGGTAGCTGTTTTCAGTTGAGGAAATAACCAGAATGATGGGACTCTGGTTATCAGGTAATTAGTGGTGTCAGTACTCGGATACCAACAGCCCTTTCTTTCTCTTTAATTAAATCGCACTGTAAAAGATATATTTTTAACTACAAAGAATTGGCCTTGGAAAAATGTGTGGCACTGCTTTAGGAAGGCAGCCTGGAAACCCTTCCATGAAGATGCTTGTTTGGCGGGAAGGTGTGGTGATGTAGGTAGAGAGGCTCAGAAATGGGATGAGGACAAGTTATTAGTGGTTTAAGAATATTACATGTGATAAAAATGATAATCTCTGTATTCATCCTTTACATCAAGGAGAGACATGGTGAAAGAGGCCACTAAAATGTTTTTTGCAATAGTGTTTTGGTTGGATTGTGAGTAGAGCAAGACTGAGATTTGCAGACGAGGTGTAGTGATAGGCTCGTGAGACAATAGCTCACACAGGCTGTGTAGCTTTAAAACTAATTTGTGGACCAAGATGTTCATAACACTGTACTGAGCCTCCCTAAAGAGTGAGGGGAAAAAAGTTTTCTTAGCTGCTATGACCTCTTAGCTTTCCTGTTTTCTTCTGCATTCAGTAGACCTTTCCAGGTTGAATTTTGCATGATCTGTTGTAAGCTCTGCCTACTGAGCAAAGTAACCATCTCGCCTAACTTCAGTAAGATTTTCCATGGGCAAGAAGTTTTTCTGTAACAGGTTTTTTGTAGGATCAGGCTTCTGTTTGTGGGATTTGTTTGTGTATTTCTTAATGGAAAAGGAAAAAAGTTCTGTATTACCTGTAAAATGTCGAGCCTTTAAAGCTTTCTGCTTGCTAACAGTTTTCCAGTTTGTAATTGTTTTCCCATAAACATCTAATCTTTCCTAAATTATTCTGTCTCCTCAGAGCAATCCTTGGTTAATGGTGAGGACAGATTTGTCCCATTAGCTGTATATTGTCTTGAAGCTGAGATTTGTGCTAAGGAAAATAGGGCTGTGATGTAAGGACAAAAGGGGGTCTTGCCCATATTGCCATGTTTGTCCATAATTTATGTGTTTGTTTCTTGTTAGTTTCAAAGGATTTCTTTCTAGTCAGGAGTTAAATGGACCCATTCAGTGTTTACATTTATGCAAATTATCATTGTGTCACTGGGGTTGCCACATTAAAAAAAGAAGTGCTAGATATTTTACATGCCTTTGAGTATTAAAGTGATTACAATTACCTACATAAAAGGAGTTGCTTTATTAATTAATTAACTTAGAGAAAAAAGGCTAGTGACCCTCTGAAGGAATATCAATAACTGAAACATTAATTATGCAAATAAGAACTGTCTTTACTGTTCATTACTCATAGTTTAACATGAAAATTGCCTTTAAAAATAATGCTTCATTCATATATTTCAATAAATGTCTAATCTGCGTGGGCTGTCACTTGGATCTAGATTTTGAGACAAAGCCTCTGCGGGGACATTGATACAGAGAGACCACACGTTCCCTGTGGCACTTGCTCCATGTTGCCAGTGCCCAGCTGCTGGGCTAGGACTTCTTGGAAGGCTTTGGAGGGCAGCAATCCCCTCTGTGAATGAGTTAATGCAAAATTTGAGTTCTGAGAGACAGAACATTTCATAGGTGAGGAAGGGGGTGGAAGAAGCAGACAAATATTTGAGGAGCTTTTGTGACTTACCCATGGTTTCAAAAGAGAGGCTGTAGCAGAGCTACAGGACCAGCCTGGCTCCATGTCCTTCTTGAGGCTGTTGAGTTGTGGGGTTGACGTTTTCTTCGGTGAGTCAGTAGAGGTGGTACCAAGGCAAATAAATACCGTGAGGAAAGCAAAGTTAGACCAAGTGTTTAGTTATTGTGAACTTGGGCACTCAGTCAACTTACTGGTCCTTTTTACCTTTCAGAAATGTGAGGCTGTGCCACCTCTCTGGTGCTGCAGGAGATCTCATGCAGATTGTGAGAATATTGTCCTTGTAAAGAGCTCTGCCTTTTTATCTTCTGAAGTTTCAAAGAGTGCGTTAGCAAATTCTGATGAAGGATTCGGGAGGAGAATTATTCCTTTTGAAATCCCTAAAGACAAGAGTCAAAGATTTCCAGGGCTACTTTTGGCTCAGGTGTCTATAATTATTCCTACTACAGGAGAAACAAGAGGAGCTGTGTTTTCTTTTTTGTCAGCTGAAAGGCTGTGGTGCAAATAATCTTGGTTTTGTTTTGAGTATGAAGACAAAAAGTAGTAGCTATGCAGTCCCAGAAAATCTTTTACTCTCCACTCCCTGAAGATTCAAATGTACCCGCTTTTAAATGCGAAACCTTAAGATTTCCCTTTTTTAATGCCCTGGAACTTGCTATGCCAATAGCAGAAAGGGCTGATGAAGAAATATGTTTCTCCCCCCTCCCTTCCCTTGTAGCGTGATGAATTGTGGAAGTCCTGATTGAAAATTCTAATCACAGGCTTGCAGTCCTTCAGATCACAACCCTTGACAGTTGATTCACTTCTTTTCATGCCTGCTGCCTCCTCCGGCTTCTGGTGCCTCTTATGCATGAGTCTATCATTAGCACACAAAGCATGATGGATTGGTTGGGGTACCTCTGTCCTTAGAACCTGGGAAATGCTTCTTTTTCAGAATCAAAGAACCTGTGTGTGACATCGTCATGAATGAGAGAAGAAAGTAATACAGTATTGGATGTGCCTGTTTGCTGCCACTGTTTAGAGGGAAAATGATGCGTTATGGGGAATGTAAGTATATGGCCGGTTTGTTTGGGTGTTTTACTCCTCTCTGGGAAACGATGCAGAAAATCATGGATCTAAAACTGCATTTGCTGAGTCTGGCATGGAAGTTGTAATACTTTTTGGAAATCTGAACTGTAAACACTTCCAAAAGTTTACTTAAAGACCGGCCTGTTTATGAAATCTAATAAATTTCAGTGTGATGATCTGATGACCAAAATGATTAGGAATAATTGGGTTTGGTACTGACTGTGGACTCATTTGCTTTTGTGGATTCTCTTCTATAGACCTTTGTCTCAGGAAACTTTTGCAAATCTTTGCAACTGCAAATGCAGATGTTACACTTGCAAATGCTTTTATTCATCTGTGTGACTTGGCATTTAATGTTTCAGTGAACAAGACAGTTAAGTTTTGGCTCCAGTGAAAGATTGATAGGAACAATTTTCAAACGTGGTATCAAAACAAAGTGAAAATATGTCACGTTCAAATACAGAGCTCTGATGCGTCGTGTGGTCTTGTAATAAATGAAATGGCACTACAAACCTGACAGATTTGCAAGAAAATGTTTTTAAATTTATGATGATTAATTTTCAAGATGAACTGCAATAAAAAAAAGTGTTAGTAGATACTTAAAGAAGGTAAAGGGAAGCAGCTTTCTGAAATGAAAACAAGCAGGTAATGATAAGGCTGCCTTCACTTTTATATCACGCTTTTCAAAATTTGTGCAGTAAGTAAATTGATATTCTGGCTGCTGCAGCTGACAATGACAGCTACTCATGCAAGTGTAACATCTCGTGGAAATTCCACTTCTTGGATTTGGACTATTTCTTTGTACTGGTTGTGTCAGAAATAGCAGTAACACAAAGCAGAACTGAAAGACTTTTTTACCTGGATTGGTGACTCTTTCTGAGCCATCAAAATAAACCAGCACTGAACCTAGTGAGAAAACAGAAGTAGCTGTGTAGTTCTTTGAAAGAAACCCAAACTTTTCTGAATCTCAACATGTTTGTGCTTCTTGAGCATTTGTTACTTGAAGATTTACTTTGTTTTGCATTAGGACAGTAAAATGCAAAGAATGTTGTCAGGTAAGATATATAACTGGATTTATTTAAGCATTGTTGGGTAGTGTTGGGCTAAAAACATGCCTTGATACCATTTATACTTAGCAAGAAGTCAGCCATACATGCCAAGTGCTTAAGTTTTATTTGTATTGATTTAGGTTTATTTTTACCGGTAGGGTTCCTTGCTTCACTTCTTCCCATTTCATTGTGTTTGCACAGATGCCTTGGCAATTGACAGGTGCAGAATAGCTTTATGCACCCATTAGTACAATGTAGTTGCTGGCAAACATGATTTAATGATGTGAATGAAGGAGTTACACACTGGGACGGATCCTGGATCCCGTGTAAATGGGCAAAGCTCTGTTGCACCAGCGTAGCTGCTTTGCAGTTGTTTGTTCCATGCTGTTACAGATCAGAAACTACATTAAACCGGGTGAGGATTTGCATGTTAACTCTTTCTTTGGTAGCATTTGGTTTAACCAGCACTTGCTTTTTGAGTTACAAATTGCCAGTTGAAGACTGTCTTGAGTAGAGTAGTAGGCTTTTTATATGTATATACACACACAGATACAGACCATCTAGTCAATGTATAAAGTAATATATTGAAATAGTGACATTATTTGAGTGTGTGTTTAGCAGTTTTTCCCTCTTCGCTGTATCTATTGCCTCTTGTAGTATCAACTACTGCCAAATGCGAAAGGTAAGATGGTGTGTTTCCCTAGCAGTTAGCCTTACTTATCCTTTATTTCAATAAACTGTATTGCCGTGAAAACTGATAGAACTTTTGCTCATGTCAGTTAGTCTTCTCTTTTAGTCAAAATTGTAAAATGGATTTATGGAGATGCGTTGAACTGGTGTTTTGGATATTTCTTTTAAAACTAAGCACTGAGATATGTATTTATGCATCTAATTAAATGAAATATACTGCTGGGTTTTGCTGGGACCTGATTGTGTTCAATGTTTCGGGTATCCTTCTAGCAACTGAGGCTGCATTTCCATGAGCAGCTCATCGCTGTCGAGAGGGCAAGTCTTACTCCTCTCCTACATATGCCAAGCTGTTGTTTGTCGGGTCTCTCGTGTTTAGCAGCTGAGAAGTCAGTTCTGTGAGAAGATATGAGAAACTTCTTAAAAGAGGTGGTTAGGAAAGAAATGGGATGGATTTGGACTGAAGCGTGAGAAAGAAAGGAATAAGGTTTTATGGTCTGTTTGGACAGAGACCTGGCTTTGTCTTAAGCCAGAAGCAAGCTTTCAGGTTGGACTTTGTGGGGGGAAAAAGCTTCAGAAATGATATAAGCTGAACTTTCTCAGAAAAGGAGTTTGAAAGGAAAAAAAGAAATAAATCAGAAGTATCATTGTGTTATTTTGAAACAGCTTAAATGCATTTAAAAGGAGACGTTGGAGTTATCATTAGCACTATAAACTTTTAGATGAGAATGTTTTGTGTTGGGAAGAAGTTAGGTGGGAAACCCCCAAAATTGTCTGCCAACTGTTAATTTCAGGCATTTTAAGGATATATCAGCCCTGCAGCACCTTCTCATATCTTACCTTCCTCATCTTCAGCAGTGCTCTCCCTTCTCTGTTAAAGAAACGCACTTGATAGTCCTAGAATTTTCCCTGGTGCGACAGTAAAATGCAAAGAATGTTGTCAGGTAAGATATATAACTGGATTTATTTAAGCATTGTTGGGTAGTGTTGGGCTAAAAACATGCCTTGATACCATTTATACTTAGCAAGAAGTCAGCCATACATGCCAAGTGCTTAAGTTTTATTTGTATTGATTTAGGTTTATTTTTACCGGTAGGGTTCCTTGCTTCACTTCTTCCCATTTCATTGTGTTTGCACAGATGCCTTGGCAATTGACAGGTGCAGAATAGCTTTATGCACCCATTAGTACAATGTAGTTGCTGGCAAACATGATTTAATGATGTGAATGAAGGAGTTACACACTGGGACGGATCCTGGATCCCGTGTAAATGGGCAAAGCTCTGTTGCACCAGCGTAGCTGCTTTGCAGTTGTTTGTTCCATGCTGTTACAGATCAGAAACCACATTAAACCGGGTGAGGATTTGCATGTTAACTCTTTCTTTGGTAGCATTTGGTTTAACCAGCACTTGCCTTTTGAGTTACAAATTGCCAGTTGAAGACTGTCTTGAGTAGTAAGCTTTTTATATGTATATACACACACAGATACAGACCATCTAGTCAATGTATAAAATAATATATTGAAACAGTGACATTATTTGAGTGTGTGTTTAGCAGTTTTTCCCTCTTCGCTGTATCTATTGCCTCTTGTAGTATCAACTACTGCCAAATGCGAAAGGTAAGATGGTGTGTTTCCCTAGCAGTTAGCCTTACTTATCCTTTATTTCAATAAACTGTATTGCCGTGAAAACTGATAGAACTTTTGCTCATGTCAGTTAGTCTTCTCTTTTAGTCAAAATTGTAAAATGGATTTATGGAGATGCGTTGAACTGGTGTTTTGGATATTTCTTTTAAAACTAAGCACTGAGATATGTATTTATGCATCTAATTAAATGAAATATACTGCTGGGTTTTGCTGGGACCTGATTGTGTTCAATGTTTCGGGTATCCTTCTAGCAACTGAGGCTGCATTTCCATGAGCAGCTCATCGCTGTCGAGAGGGCAAGTCTTACTCCTCTCCTACATATGCCAAGCTGTTGTTTGTCGGGTCTCTCATGTTTAGCAGCTGAGAAGACAGTTCTGTGAGAAGATATGAGAAACTTCTTAAAAGAGGTGCTTAGGAAAGAAATGGGATGGATTTGGACTGAAGCGTGAGAAAGAAAGGAATAAGGTTTTATGGTCTGTTTGGACAGAGACCTGGCTTTGTCTTAAGCCAGAAGCAAGCTTTCAGGTTGGACTTTGTGGGGGGAAAAAGCTTCAGAAATGATATAAGCTGAACTTTCTCAGAAAAGGAGTTTGAAAGGAAAAAAAGAAATAAATCAGAAGTATCATTGTGTTATTTTGAAACAGCTTAAATGCATTTAAAAGGAGACGTTGGAGTTATCATTAGCACTATAAACTTTTAGATGAGAATGTTTTGTGTTGGGAAGAAGTTAGGTGGGAAACCCCCAAAATTGTCTGCCAACTGTTAATTTCAGGCATTTTAAGGATATATCAGCCCTGCAGCACCTTCTCATATCTTACCTTCCTCATCTTCAGCAGTGCTCTCCCTTCTCTGTTAAAGAAACGCACTTGATAGTCCTAGAATTTTCCCTGGTGCCCTTGGGGCAGTGGGTGTGCAGCTCTATAGATTAGAATTTAAGTTCACTTGGTACACAGTAGGAAAGAAAAATTCTAGAAGCCATTTTGGTGAGAAATAATTTTGAGCTGGGGTTGCTGGCTGAAGAGAGATCTGAATGCACTTGTCTGTTTATATTATGTTTTTTTCAGCAGAGATCCTTGCTGATCCCTACCAGGTTCCTATCTTACTGTGCACAGAGAAAAGAAAAAATCAAGGCCCATTTTAAGAGCTTAAGGATCCAAATATAAAATTAGTATAATAAACTAGTGAAGAAAAAAAAATAAATACTGAAACAGATGAAATAGAAAAAAAAAAAACCAAAAAAACAACAAACTGAAACATCTGAAACAATAAGTGCACAGTATGTTGTGCTTGCTGTCTTTAGTGTAGTTCATAATGGCTTTCAAATGCAAACAAGTTGCTTTGGTCCTCAGTCCTTAACATCAGGAATCGTTTCTATCCACTAATATCCCCAAAGAATAACTTCAGATCATGCTGGAACTGCATGTTCTTTTCCTCCAACTAATGCCAATATCTGTGCTGGGGAAAATTAATAAATCTGTCTCTGCATTTGCTTGCAGCTGTGTGTTTTATCAGTAGCCATAAAAGGGGAATGCCTGGGTTTTGTGCTTGTTTAGAGTGCATCTCGCTTTTCAGAGGGAATCAATATTTTTCGGAGGAGTATC